ACACACACACACACACACACAGTCACTTTTGATATGAATTACGAATATCATGAAGTCACTGCCAATGGCTAAGCCTTGAAAAGAGAGACTTCTCGAAGACTGAGAGGAGTAGGCAAGCAACAAAGAAGCTGCAGATGCAAATTCCCACAACAAAAAGTAGACTGCAGGTAGCGAACGCAGCAGGGCAGGATTTCACACCATAGCCAGTAGAAGCTACCTTAAGATAAAATGAGCGCAAACCTGGCACTAAAAATTGTGAAGGAAGGATAGAAAGTCAACAGAACAAAACTACGGCAACATCACAACCAAAGACTGTCGCTACGACTCAAACTACAAACCAGAAGAACATGAACCACATAAGAAAAGCCATACAAGCGATCCTTTACACAATGTGAGTGACAAATCATAAAACAAAATAGAACTTGTCGATGCCTGGGGGACAAGTTCTACATTGTATATTACCTTCACTCTCACTGTGCTCAGCTCATCTATCACCACACAGTTTACAATAAGAAGCTAAATGGCAGAAAGTGACGAGAATAGCTTGTGATTTTATCTTGTATTTGTCGAAACAAACAATGCCCTTGGTTTCTAGCAAACAATTATTTCAGTTACAATCAAATTTAAAGCAACTGTTGGACATTTTAGGAAAAATGCTTATTCACCTACTTGTTGGGAGTTACGTTAAAATATTCAGGATATGACAATCGGCCTGCTGAATGTGCAGCTACTGCAATAGCATGTTAGCATAGCTTAGCACACACACTTGCAGTAAGGTTAATCTGCCGATCAGCACCTCTAAAGCTCGCTAAATAACAGGCAATATCTTGAATGTCAATCTGCACATTTGGACAACACCAGGCTAGCTGTTTGCCCTTATTCTAAGTCATTATGCTTGGCTATATTTTTGTACCTGACAAAAATTAGGGCGATATGAATAATATATTTCCCAAAATGTCAACATATTTCTTTAAAAGGTGCTAAAAATTATCCACCTTCTTGCTGCAAGATGTTTGACTAAAATAGGTTAAATCATTCTTGCTTTATATGATACAAGATAATGTCACTCACTACACTTTTATTAGAAGAGAGAGACCTGGAAAAGTTCAAATTCACTACCAGCTAGTCACAGAAATTTCAAACCTCAGCAAATAGATTAGCTCAGATATGAAGCAGAGCTTGACATTTGCCTGAACCCAATAAGACCCAACCGAACCAGAAAGATTTCCAAGGTTTAGATATCCATAAATTATTAAAAGTAATAAAAAAAAACAAAAGAAACCAAAACAAAAAAAAAAAGAAGCTTGGGAAAAGGTAAAATATTTGTCATTTGCCTCATAAGAAAGCTTTTCTCCTGTCAATATAATTCAACAGAAAACTTTAAGGTCTGGGTCATAATGGTATCAGATTTTAAGGCACAAGTCAAGCTCCAAGAAGAAGCGGTTGGGGGGGTCCACAAAAGGGTACCTGTCGTCTTCAGGGGAAGCATGTTGGATAAGAATCCTGGGACTTGCTGGACGTCTTCGGGGCAGGGAATGGGACAAAGATTTTCTATGTGTACACATACAAAATACATCACCCACATGACCAAATCAGCAGGAAAATACTAAATCAGAGAGCCAAGCTATTCCATTAATGGGTATGCAGACAGTGAAAAACTATAGGTCTGTGCCTGCCATGGCTAATGGTAGAGTTAAACAGGTTTGACGCAACAGAACGAGCTATAAATACAACAACTGTTATGTAGGGTTGGGATGAGGAAACAGTTTCAACTTACAAACAGTTCCAAAGTTGTGATTCAAAAAGAATCATTAAGAAAGTTTAATTTTAATTCTGCTTATTGGTTCCTACGCAAACGTCACTTGCACTCGATAGTTTGGACTGGATTTATGACTGGTCAAAAAGATCGCAAAGTAGAATTCTGCCGAGTGAAGATGGAATTACAGATATGTTGAATTAGAGTTTTTACTGGGTGCATTGATGTTGCAGATATTTGCAGCTATGGTCTCCCCAAGAACACTATACATCCACTTG